GCGCCAAAGAAAAGTTTTGTTTGATTCTTACTGAACAGTAGAAATTTTTGAAAAATACGAAGAAATGAGAAAAAAAGTAAAGTCAAAAATGTAAAATGAATGACCATAGGGCACAATCAGATGTCTATGAGAAAAAAGTTTCTAAATCGAGTAAGGTTTGGAAAAAAATTCTCTATGAAATAAAAAATCAATAGAAGCAGAAGCAACGGCCGTGGCGTGGAGTTTTTCAACTCACTGTCGAGTATCTATCTAATCCTCCATGTTCTGATCCGCGCCAAGGACGTGGGTCCTGCTTCTACTATATTTTTATTTCATAGAGTTTTCACTATTTCGCCAACGTTTCAAGTGGTATATCCACTCCTCATCAGTGCAATTTATCAATTTCTATCCATTGACAAAAAACCATTTTTACTTCAAAATTGTGCGGAACCTTGAGAATACCAAGCCAAAGTTATTAACCCCCCATTAGCCGGCTGCAAATAACATTTGTTCTATGTCAATACATTTTTAGGCCCTTTAAAGTCAATTCAACCTGACATAAAAAAATGGAATTTTCCTGTAATAAAAAAGTATTCATTGGAAACTAATAATAATAAGATTATTCGCAACATCAATTTTCGTCATTTTCTAAGCTCCAAAAATGTTCTTCAAATGAAATAATAATATTCTTGACGTAATAACATTCTCTCCCCTGTGAGTTTCGTGTTATTGCTATTGAGAGACATTTCATGCGAGTTTTTTATAACCAAGACATTGAATTCGTGACGACTTTCTTCATAAGTCCTGGTTCATCCGATCTACTCCATATTTTATGTTCCGTCTGTCATGTGAAGGGGATTTATGCCGAGGAAAAGGGTAACACAGATGCACCGGGTCATGATATGGGTATCATGCAGCCCCGAGGACCTCGATATCCTCGAAATATCTTGAGTTGGAGCGGTGAAGGCACTGACGGAATAAGAATGGCTGATGCGGATGGAAAACAGATGTCGGCAAAAGGGCAGTGGAATATGGCGAAGTGTAGAGAGGAATATGACCAGGGGAGAATCACTCGGACGGGTGAATTTCATGCTGTCCAAGATGGGGGTTTCCATATATCTTTCACGTCTCTCGATACCCGGAAGAAGTGTCGTTACTTATGTTTTATTGGACTCTGGGGTGCAACGTCAGCGTGGATATCAAAAGGTGAAAAATGGACAGGAGAATCATTTGATTCGAAATCGTTCTTTCATGGCATTATTAATCGAGTTTTGCCGGTATTAATGAGACTTCATTATTTTGTGCGATTCATCCATTTAATTGAATCATCATTCCACAAAGTTTGTTAATTACTGCTTCAACTGAATTATGCTATCTCTTCGTTCATATTCAAAATTCAATAGATCAAATAGCGAGATGATTTTTGTTCGATTTTGTTCGATCATCCATTAAATTGAATCATTATTCCACAAATTTGGTTAATTACTCCTTCAGTTTAATTATGCTATCTTTTCTTTAATATGCAAAATTCAACCGATCGAATAGCGAAATGATTTTTGTTCGATTTTGTTCGATTCATCCATTAAATTGAATCTTTATTCCACAAATTTGGTTAATTACTCCTTCAATTCAATTATGTTATCTCTACTTTAACATTAAAAATTCAACAGATAAACTAGCGAAATGATTTTTTAAATGGAATCATCTCCATGAAGAGTGAGGGCAAGAAAATTACCATGAGATCTGTTTCATTAAAAATTTTCTTTTGCACGAAAAAAATCTTGAAGACGTGTTGTTACTTATGTTTCATCGGACTCTGGGGTGCAACGTCAGCGTGGATATTAAAAGGTGAAAAATGAACAGGAGAATCATTTGATTCGAAATCGTTCTTTCATGGCATTATTAATCGAGTTTTGCCGGTATTAATGAGAATTCATTATTTTGTGCGATTCATCCATTTAATTGAATCATCATTCCACAAAGTTTGTTAATTACTGCTTCAACTGAATTATGCTATCTCTTCGTTCATATTCAAAATTCAATAGATCAAATAGCGAGATGATTTTTGTTCGATTTTGTTCGATCATCCATTAAATTGAATCATTATTCCACAAATTTGGTTAATTACTCCTTCAGTTTAATTATGCTATCTTTTCTTTAATATGCAAAATTCAACCGATCGAATAGCGAAATGATTTTTGTTCGATTTTGTTCGATTCATCCATTAAATTGAATCTTTATTCCACAAATTTGGTTAATTACTCCTTCAATTCAATTATGTTATCTCTACTTTAACATTAAAAATTCAACAGATAAACTAGCGAAATGATTTTTTAAATGGAATCATCTCCATGAAGAGTGAGGGCAAGAAAATTACCATGAGATCTGTTTCATTAAAAATTTTCTTTTGCACGAAAAAAATCTTGAAGACGTGTTGTTACTTATGTTTCATCGGACTCTGGGGTGCAACGTCAGCGTGGATATTAAAAGGTGAAAAATGAACAGGAGAATCATTTGATTCGAAATCGTTTTTCCATGTCATAATTAAGCGTTTTGCCACTGCCAATGAGAATTCATTATTTCATGCAATTCATCAATTTAATTGAATTATCATTCCACAAATTTGGGCAATTACTCCTTTGATTCAATTGTTTAATATCCACTTTGATGTTAAAAATTTAAATATAATCATCGCCATAACAAGTGAGGCTACAAAAATTACCACAAAATCTTTCGTTGGAAACTTTTTTTCCAAAAAAAAATCCTGTGAAATCTCCTTTGAAAATAACTTTTTACCCATCAGATGAAGTCTTGATTAAAATTATAATTAACGGATGTAGCATGTCGGGGTAATTATCTGATCATCTCGGTAATGAGTGGTTTTCCGCGAAACTTCGTTGCTCGTCTACAAAAGGTATTTTCATGTTTTCTCTCAGAGAATTCATTCCAGAGATAGTTTTTTTCCGTCCTTTCGGTTTTTTAATGATCTCTACTCCGTTTAGAATTCACGCACAATGGATTTTCACTTCCTAATGATGCTTTGTACTGGGGATAATGTTGGGAGGTCGTGGTTCCTCTCATATTTTTGTTTATTCATAATACTCATGCATTTCATTTCTGACAACGGCACAACAGATCGAAATGAAAAGGACCCCAGAAAAATGACAAAGCCGAACAAAACCACATGAGAATGCGAAAAACACGGGGAAATCCGTGGGGTATTATGATCCAAGCTTGACGATAACTTTTGAAATATGTATTCCATGCAAATGTAAAAATCGCGGTTGCATTTCACTTCCGCCCATGGAACCGTAAGGAAACTTTCCTTAATTGTATTTTTGTCTTCAATCTAGGAAGCGAAATTTTCGTTCCGCTTGTAAATTCAATGTGGCTCCGATGTTTATGAATTTTTCAAACACACAAAACCTGGAAATATTTCTCACGGACGGCTGTGGTAGGACACACAAATGCTTTTGTGTTTATGGTGATAAAATGAGAAGATGGCGGCGAAGAGAGAACGCAAGTTTTACGAGTTATCTCTTGTTCATCAGACTTTTGGGGAGTAAATATTCCAAGAGAGGGGTGATGTTGACACACGGAATGAGGAGAGATAAGGGGAAACTGTGAAACATGATGACTTTCGCATTTATTGGAGACTTGCATGGAAACTTGGTGGATAAGAAATTTATGCACTAGAGTTTCATATACATAGATGTTCAAGGTTCGATTTTGGTTGTTTCTTCTATGGTACGTATACTGTTAAAAATTTTGGTCTGAATTTTCCCTGCCAAATTCTGGATTTTTTCATCGTGTTCAAGCTCCACTGAAATTTCAGGAAATCTTGTCACTGAAAAATCAAATATTCCAGCGATTTTTTGTTGAAATTATCTGGAAATCAATAAAATACTTGATTTTTCAGTTCAGTTATTCTGTGAAAATTCAGAAAATTCAGCGAAAAATTGAAAATTTATGTCATTTTGTTGCTGAATATTCATGTTCCCCTAAAAATTCAATCAAGTTGTGAAATTTCCAACTCACTCCCACTAAAAACTCATGAATTTTCATAAATTCTACGTAAAACTTGAAATTTCATAACCATTTTTTCCCTAAATTCGATTCAATGTCACTCTCATGAAATTCCTATAATATTTTCCATGAAATTTCAAAAAATTTCTAACAGTGTAGCACAGAGAAAACGTTTCTGGTTTCAGAGACAAAAAAAACTGCACTGTTAAAAAATTTTATTTGAATTTTTCGGAAAAAGACCTTGAATTTGATTTAAGGAGAAAAAGTCAATGGGATTTCAAGTTTCTCTGAAAATTCCAGTAAAGTCCCAATTTTTTTGCGGAAGGAAGATGGAAATTCCACAATTTACATGAATTTTCAAGTGAAACTGGATATTCACTGTCAAATCACTTGGGATTTTCAGGGAATTCCCTAAAAAATCTTGAACTTTCAAGTATTTTTTTGGGACTTCCTTGAAAATTCAGAAGAATCTGGAATTCAAGGAGAGATTTTTCCGAATTTTCCTGATTTTTCATTAATTTTCCTGGAATAATTACTGAAATTTGCAGTTCCCACGGATTTTTCCAACAAATTACGACTTTGCAATGACAAAATTCCTTGAAATTTCAGTGGCCATGTTACTCATTAGAAATTTCCAAGAACTTTATCAGAGACTTCAGTGGAAAATTTTTAACGGTGTGAATTCTAGTGAAATTTCTTTGACAATCAGACAAAACGTTCTAGTTCTCACAATCAGTAATTTGGTCATATAATTATGTGCAATTCCATATTATTAAATATTTAATTCATCATCAATTGCAATTTAGACTATTAATTATTTGACTATTATCAAATTTCGACTAGTATATTTAAACCTTAATAAATCTAATTCAGAAATTCCTTAAATATTGAAAAATCTAAAGATGTTCCATCCCTGTACCCTGAAACTTGTTTCTCGGCATCTCTCCAGAGAAGAAATTACGTTCCCCTAGAATAGAAAACCGTAATGTACTTACATGAGTGAAGAAATAGTAATACACCTTCATCCCCCGGTCGGCAAATAGTTGAGCGAAATGAGTGGACGGACAAATGAAGAAGTAATCACCAACGGCATCAGCCACTGCTTTCTGATATCGAAAGCCGTCCTTGGGCTGCTCCCAATCGGTATACTGAAACCCAAATAAAATCAAGATTGGTATCGTGTCTGATCACTAAAGTCCCTATCTCCTGCCGTCCCCGCCTCGCGTGTTAACCGCTGCGCTGTCCGCCTCGTCACCCTCCCCTCGCCCTCTCCCAGCTCCGAAATTCGATCCCCCCTAGCTCAACTACAGCCCCAATTTCTGAATGATCCGCGCGGATCTTCCCCCAGACCTGCAACGCGCAGACATTGGCCGGATGCAACTGAATCCAAAGCTCACCTGACGCTGGGATTCAGCGGCCAGATTGGAGAGGCTGTTTACGATTCTCTCTCCAACATCATTGCGATATACTGTTGAATCGGTTTGATGTGTTTACAGCTCGTTGATTAGACTCTCACGATGGGGATCAGTGTGGTACGAGGAAGGGTAGAGCGGCAGGGGGTGGGGAGGCAGAGGGGGTCGTGGGCCACAGAGGGATCTAACGTGTGTTGACACAGAGATGAGCTTCTCCCCAGCCAGTTCCCATAACTGAGAACGCACAAGCGGATAAGCCTTCCGTAATAACATAAACCGGACGTGGATGAGCTCGGCAAATACGTTGTTCGATGCTGAATATCTGGAGAGCAGGAAAATTGCGGAGTTTGGGATATTATTCGCCACTCTGAAATTATTGCTTCACAGGGAAGAAAGTGTTTTGATTTTCGTGATCATGTCACTGGTTTTCAGGCACATGTTACTGAATTTTAAGAATTTGGAATGTTGAAAAATTGGGATGAATTAGGCGGAGAAAGATCTCACATTCGATTTAAGGGAAACAAGTCAATGGAATTTTAAGGTTTGCTGAAAATTCAAGTAAAGCGCCAATTTTTTAGCGGCAAAAAGACGGATATTCTACAGTTTACATGAATTTTCAAGGGAAAATGAATATTTACTGTTAAATTCTCGGACAATTCAGAGGGATCTGGAATTCAAGGACAAATTTCTCAGAATTTTCCCGGAATAATTAAACTGAAATTTACAGTTCCCACAGATTTTTCGATGGAGTTATGAATTTTTAATGACCAAATTCTTTGCAATTTCAGTGGAAATGTTATGATTTTTAAGAATCTAGACTGTTAAAAAATTCGGCTGAATTATGCGGAAAAAGACCTTAAATTCGATTTAAGGGGAACAAGTCAATGAATTTTCAAGTGAAAGTGAATATTTACTGCCAAATTCTTTGAAAATTCAGAGGAATCTGGAATTTAAGGACACATTTCTATGAATTTTCCTCAATTATCGGAATAATTCGGATTATCCGTGATTTTTATCACTGAAATTTGATATTTTTTGAAAATTAGAGATCGGTCTTTGAAATTCAGTGAAACTTTCCTGAAACATAAGTGACACTGTCACTAGAATTTTGTGATAATGTCGCTAGAAATATTACTGAATTTCATAATTTTGCATTCGTTGAATTTCATAATCGCCAATCCCTAAAAAGTGGGGATTGACTCCTGAAAATGAGGAATGGGATTCTGAAAATCACCACTTTTTTCCTCTGTGTCAGAAGAAATTTGGAATTTTATGGACAGTCCAGTCATCATTTTCCGGTGAGCGACATTCACCTCAATTTCGAAGGAAAAAATCATGAAACGGTACATTTCATAAAAATTTCAATGGACTAGTAATTTCCAGAAGAGCGACATTCAAATTTACTTAAATTTCACATTTTTGAGCTGCAGAAAGCCGAAAATTCCCCAATTTACTTGGATTTTCACTAAACACAGAACATTCAGTACCAAATTACGCTGAATTCTCAAGCAATTGAAAATTCCAGTGTATAAGAACCTGAATGTTCCCAATTGTTCTGAATTTTCATGGTATAATTGAACCAAAAATTTACAGCTTTTAGTCATTCATCTGTAAAACGTGGAATTCCCAACAGTAAACTTCCTAAAAATTTCAGTAGACCTACAATTCAATCAAAATTTGTGCCTCCAACTGCACTCAATAAATTTCAAAATTGTACCTCTGGAACAAAATTGTTAATTCAACCAATTTTTTCCTCTATACATGTCTTCCGAAATGAAATATTCTCCCCTCCCTAGAGCCACTAAACCAGTTAATCCACCCACCCACAATAAAGCCCACCTTATCTCCCTTCATTTCACGTTAATCACGATTTTTTCAGATGAATGTGACACTTCTGTCGATAATACAGAATTAAAATAAAAAAAAGTCTGGATGGCCCCATTTACTCGCCACCCCCCGGAATGTTTAATTCGCTCACATTCACCCAATTACCCGTTAACTTTTCATCCTGATCCTCGCCCTCCGGGGCAGCAACAAAAATGTGCAAAGTAAAGGCCCCCAATGCCCAGCCCAAAAGAGCAATAAAACAAATAAAAAAGTACACAGACAACGGCGGATTCTTGGAAAAAAATGTACCCACTAAAGGAAAAAGCCGTGGGGCTGGCGTAAAAAATAGAAGAGGAGGTATTCTTTAATCCCTCGAGGAGGGCAAGACAGGTCTTGGGTGGGTTTGTCTGTTATTTAGCTGCTGGCTCTCGCTGCTGGTAATCCCTAGGAATATCCAACAATTTATTCGTTCATAATTCAGTCGACTCTGCTGTTCTCTCACTGGTACACCGCCATGTCCCATCCATCGATTTTGTTTTTGGGCGTTATTAATTAGCGAACAGGTGGGAGAAAAAGAGGGGGATATAGCCACGTATATATCGAACCAGTGAATCGCAGATTGGCCATTTGGTTTTGCTAATCCATTCTGGCAATTATCTGCGGTGTATCTGCCATTGTTCGTATATCACGTTGTCAGGCTCCGATAGAGGAGATAATGGATGTATTGTCCTTTGTGTTGCGATTTTTCAAAGAAAAATGCTCGGAATTCAACAATGTTCTATACTTCACTGTTGGAAAATTACTCCTGGAGTTTCAAGTAAAGAATTGGGAAACTTTTAACAAAGATTTCATTCGATGAACTTCCGAGGAGGGGGTGGGGGCAAAATGGGCACTTTGGAAAGATTTTGAAAAAGTGAAGCTTGAATTTCAATCGAAAATTTTTAACAATACCTCGAGATAATATTCTTAATTTAAGCAATTTGTTTCTCGGTAGATCTCCCCCATTTCCGGAATAGATCGTCCGCCCCCTCTCTACATCCATTAAAACAGCTCATCCATCCACCCACGATAAAAGCCTCCCTATCTCCATTCATTGCACGTTAACCAGTATTTTTTCAGATAAATGTGACATTTCTGTCGATAATACGGAATTTTAAAAAGTCGGTTAAAAAACTAATTTCGTTGAATTTCCGGGGCGAATAAAAATTCTCTGAACGTTTTGATCTTAAATTTAATTTAAAATCCACAACGTTACGGATTTTCAAGTACTTTGGCTATTTTATCTCCGGTGAAATTCTTTTCTACTTTCGCAGTGGAACATCGGAGCTTTTACTTGAGCCCCATTTGATTCCAGGTTTCCGAAAGTTTTACAATGATTTTATTATTTGAACTTTGCAGGTCTCAATTTGAATTTCGATATTGAACCGCTAGAAAACATTTTTTAAATCTGAAAAAATAGGAAAATTCACTTTTAGAGGAAGATTGATGAGATAATTTGAAAAATGCAATTTTTGAAAATTACCAGTATTTTCTACAAATAATTTATAAAGAATCAATTTTCCACTATAAAAATCATTTGCTCGGAATCGTAACAAATTTATTCGTATTCAGAATTACAGCAGAAATCGCTTTGAATAGAAGTAGTTTAAATTCAATTCTTTATTTATAAACAACGAATATTTAAGAAAATGATAATTTTATGTAAAATGTAATTTGAATGACGCTGATAATTTTCTTCAAATTTTTCTCACGCAATTTGAGTGCAGTCTGTACCAAACTGTAAAAAACACTACGATATCCTTAAAAATTTATTTAATTTAATGGAGGTATTGGTCAAATGTCAAATAATTTCCAGCAGCACTTGCTCCAATGAAAATTGTTTCGACAGCCTGAAGAAATACATTCGTTTGCTTCGTTCATCCGAATATATTCAATCCAGTTGTTTCTACAAATAATATGAGTCATTAAAATTTATTTTGAATTAATTCCTACATAATCTACCAAAAGAGCAATGAGACACAATTTCTTAATTTAAAATTGTTGTAAGGCTAATAAATGTACACTTTAATAATCCAATCTAATTCCGCAACAAGAAAAATATATTCGCTCTTCATTACTGAACTCATTTTTATTCATATATTTCCGTAGTGCAGCAAGGACAGACCAGAAGACTAGCGATAAGACACGAGAGAGGAAAGAAAATGGATTTTACCCAGGGTAAGTTCATGAGTATGGAATACCTCTGGCGACGTGTGGCCAAAGAAGGATGCGAAGAGACTCCTGGGAATATTGCATGTATCGGGCGCGGTTGGGGGGTGGGGGGAGCACGTGAAATAGTTTTATGGAAATCATCTTATTCTCCATATGGTACTCTCCACAAATAGGAACCCATGTACTCCTGGTAAAATCCTGTCTGCATTATTCTTCCGGTGACTTTTATCTTCATGTCAAGGAGACCAAAAGGTAATGAGACGGGAGCATGTAGATAATATTCTGTATGAAGGAGTCTTCATCCAGTGTGTACTGCGGAAAAATAACTCAACATTTCTCTTGCTACGCTGTTGGAGGAAAATCAGAATTTTATGAAAAGTTTGATGGTAAATTTAGTAGAAATAATTATACGATTCATGTTTCGAGACGAGATTGCCGAATTCATTAAAAATTTTAGTCAAATCGTGAATATTCAGTACCAAATTTCAATTAATTGAAAATTCAAGTGTATGTTTATGAGAATTGTCAAGATTTCTCGTAATTTTTAGGGAAAAAAAAGAAAAATTGTCGGTTTCTATCGATTTTTATATGAACTTATGAATTACTAACGGGGAAATTGCTTGGAACTTCCGTAGATCAAACAGTTTTGTTCAATTGAGGTCAAATTAAGATAATAAATGACGATAGAAATAATCATA